CTTGGGAGGATGTTGCCAAACTTTGAAACCCTGTGAAGATGTTGCCAGATCCTGGAACCCTAGGATGATGTTGCCAAACCCTAGCTCTCAAATAGCGATGGTGTATTCTAATTTTTTGAAAGTAGGTTTAGTAACCCGTATGTGAGAGTATTTATAATGAAAAAAGAGAAACCGTCCATTACGATTTTTCTGCCACTTCTCACGTATATTTTGAATGTGATAGACTTAATGGGAGAAAAGTGGGCAACAATTTAAGGTCAGTTTAATTATATAAGATAATTAAAAAATAATCAAAATTCAAATATGATTAATTAATTAATTAAACTAACATCATATAAATATACCGAAAGAAGAGGGACGGAAGAGACATATGTCGGGCTGTCAACGGCAAGGTGATGTATGGCAAAGCATGACGGCTTAAAAGATGATTGTGAAGCTTTCGTTAGAAATACACGTCAGTAAGAGAAAATGAGAGGGAGAGGCGGCGGTGGTTGTCGGGATTGGGCGTCATGGCTGAGAAGGAAGAGGGAGGCAGCGGTTGTGGGCGAGATTGCCAGTGGGTAGTGGCATCGATTGGGTGCGAATGAAGGAGAGGGAAATACGACTGAATGAAGGCGAAGAAGAGCTGGAGAGACAAATTATTGCCCGTGGAAAGATGAATTTTGCAATTGAGTAGAAACAGTGCTCCAATTAGGGTTAATGTTATTACTTATATTTTAAAAAAATAAAAAAAAATTAAGAAAAAAAAAAGTAAATTTTTCATTGAAAAAAATATGGGATACATTTTATATGTACTTGATTTCTTCTGAATTTACATACTTGTTTTTTACCCACCCCGAAGCAATACTGACATGATTGAAAATTGAAAAAGTTGTTGATAAAGTAATTTCATATTTCAGAGTACGTTCAACATTCGTTTGAGAAAAGTACATTCCAAATATATATATGCTGAGAAAATGAAAGCCTCTGATGTGTGCCTTGTTTTTAAACTTCTTCTTCAAATTATATAGTAATCTGCATAAATAAAATAAAATAAAATAAATTTTGAATTTATTTGAATTAATAGTTAAAATTCATAAATAATATATTTTAAAAGAATACATCCAATTATAGTGTACAGATCCAACTAACATACATTCCACTAGCAAATGGATCATTAAATGTCCCAATAATATACTCTCGTGCAATTCTTTCAATTGCTCTGTTATATAAAGTAGAAGTATATACTATTTGAAAAAGAAAACTAACCTCAGTAATAGTCTCCCATACATAGCTTGGAAGAAAAGTCCAAAAAGAAATAAGGAATAAACGTTGCAGAAAATATATGCATTGTGACTCTTCATCTTTATTAATTTCACTCGGGAACTATCCACGCAACGGCTGAAGTAGGACATAAAATGATCCATAAACTTTATTTGGAAAATCCAATCATAGAGCAACCAACATTGTGCTTGATTCAATGTGTAAGATGCCTTCCTCTTTGGACCATTACTAAATGGCTCGACAAAAAATTCAGGATGATCACAAATAATCGACATGTCTTTCTGAGCATTAAGGTTGTCCATCATTTTTCCCGATACATCCATAATGGTGTGTATTATACTTTTAAAAATAATTTTTTTCATATGCATAACATCCAAGTTATGACGTATGGGGAGATATTTTCAATAAAGAAGATCCCATAAAATCGATCATTTTGTCCATTTATGGTGCTTCCAAAATCCGCATGCTTAGGACAGTTTGGGTTGACCACTACTGAAGGCATTGTAGAAACTCATTTATATAGTGTATGGTCATTGAGCCTTTCATGATCTACACTGTCCTCAGTTTTTCTCTTAATGACACTTCATTTATTTCGACAAAAAGAATGATTTTACAGTAAAAAATTACGATGACAATCAAAATAGCATACCTTTCTCTCATGGGTCAACCAAAAAGTTGGATTGTCATTCATGTATACTGGACGTCCTAACATCCTCGCCGTACTCCATCATAAAATCATTCCATAGGAAATTAGGTCACCTACCGTCCAAAAGAGTGATGCACGCATCCAAAATTGATGTTAGGTATATGCATCGTAGACAACATAACCATCCATCGAAAAATACAATAACTTTTTCACCAATGGTTATAAGTATAAGTCAATCAACTTTTTTTGAGATTATGCGGTCCTGAAACAATAGTGCATAAGAATTTATACTTCTTCTGCATACATGTCCCCGGTGGCAAATTATATAGGGTAAGAATAACTGGCCAATATAAATAATTAACCTATATGATCTGTAAGGTGCAAACCTTCTATGCAAAATCCTAATAGTACATTCTATGGATCTTGTGCAAAATCGGGATACATACGATCAAATGTTTCCACGCCTCTACATCAGATGAATGACTCATCGACCAACTTTGCTTCAATAATAATAATCTCAATTCATTTTTTTTCTATCTCAACAAACTCATATAAGTCTTTCAATCTTTGTTTCGGCAGAAGATATATTATATGTGATACAAAAACATTCTTCCGCCAACTACCGTGTTTTCAATGTGACCTGCCACAAAATTTGCATTCTTGTAAACCTCATCACATTTCCAAAATAGTATGCATCCTTGTGGACAAAACATCTATATTAATAGTGGGTAATTCTATTTTTTCTATTAACTTTTTTTTATCTATAGAAATCGATAGACATTTGATGACCTTTGGGAAATGCTCGTCAAATTACTTGCATATATCATCATAGGCGGACTCCGATACGTTATGATTGACCTTAATGTCTACCAATTCTGTAACAATAGATACTTGTATTTCTCCATCACAATATGTATAAAGTGGTTTGTTATCATCTTGGAGCATATTGTTGAATCTACCTGTCATATCTATATCTATGAATTCTTCGTTTCCAATGAATGCCTCAGGTGGATCATTTTCTAACTTTGAAGATCATGCATTATTATCAGATTGAATGTGAATACTATTTCCCGAATCTTCATTTGTTGTTACCTCATTATCAGCGAAATTTTTCATAAACGGACCAACCGTCATTGCATCCAGTAATTTATATTTATCATTTTTATATATGTTGTATGGACACTATATCTTAGTACCCTTTATTCACTATTTATGTTGTAAATCTCATTCAACAAACTGTAGAACTCTTGCTTCAAATTTTGAATGCAATTTATACATAATTGGATTAAATCTTCCACACATTCAATCTCGATGATTTTGCGAATATAAAATAAATTTTTTAATAAATTATATAACAAATTATATGAAAAAAAAATGATGAGAAAAATGAACTAAAGAAGTGAAATTTTTGTTGGATTTGACCAAGGAATATATCGAAATAAATCAGATTACATACGAATCAAACCAACTTAGAACTCCCTTGGACATCAAAATTATTCTAGACGTGAGCCTCCTGGAAGTGTTTCGCCTGCAAGGTGAGCTTACTGCAACTGCCTTAGTAGATATATATATATATATATATATATATGCCTTTGTGGTGGGGGAAGGTACACGTGAGGAAAATAAAAATGAAAATGAGATAGCAAAGTTATTTTTATTTCGACTGAAACTTCAACTCTCATTAAAATGAAGAATTTACACAGTATTTGTAGATCTCTAAAACTGCTGGATAAAGATTAACATAAATTTCGGAACTGAAATATCTAAAATACTCAACAAAGCCTACCAAAACTTTGGGAACAATCAAATGCTTATTCAAAATATAATTAAATATATTTTACACTACTTAGTCAAATTCTAACTTGATTTCATGTCAGATTATTTCCAACAATTCTTGTATGAATAATTGAAATAACAAACCAACTCAATTTATAGAGTTGGAAACACATTAAAATAAAATAAAAAATAGTGACAAAATAATTTGTATTTGTTAAAATAAGAGTAATAAAATTGTGTAAATCAAATTACTTATTTTAAATGGTTTTTCTATAAGTTTAGCGAACAATAAAAAAAATTGACATAATTAGAGTAGATGAAGGGAATACCATTTGTTATAGTAGCAATAATAATATTATGTTTCTAATCAAAAACAAAAAAATAATACTATTATGTTGTCCCGTAAGGGATGACCTGATAATGTAGGAGTTGGACTTGTGACCGTGAGGTTATGGGTTTAAACCCCCGATGCCTCAGGTCACCTGTTACACATGGTTCACCTAGTCGTGACGACTGCGGATTCATGAAATAAAAAAAAAAATCATAGTTACCCCAATTCAAAATGTGTGTAAAGATCATTTCAATTGATAATGTTTCATTTCACTTCAATAAGGATATAAAAGACAAATTTAATTTGCTTTAATGGCCATGTTTAGTTCACTCTAAAGGATATTTTTATCCTCTTCCATGCGATTTTAAAATAGATCATTATCCTCCACTAAATTTTATTGGCACATTTTATATGAACATAATACATATGAATAATTTTGATAAAAAAAAAAAAAAAAAAAAGTCAATTAAGTGTGGCTGATTGAATATAATTTTGAATTTTTAAATATTAAAATTTTAAATTTCAATAAAAAAAATTACACTATCTCATACAAACAAGTTGAGATAACGTATAAGTATTCTTTCTTCATATATCATGTCTTCCCCTTATTCCTCTTATTATGTCATTTTGTTTTTTTAAAAATAATTATTCACTTTAATTGTCATTTTAAATTTTTTAATTTAATTTTTTTTAATTTTAATTATATTCATTAGTTATTTTAATCTTAATTTAAAATTATTTTTATTATACAATAATTATTTTCACTTAACACATTCTTAATTATTTATTAATTATATCCCTCCTAAATTTCAGTGTTTACAGTAAATGAGACACTGTAGTTAAGACGGAGAGTATAATATTTTTAAATTTCTCCGTTAAAAAAAAAAAGGTAAAAAGAGAGAGGTTGCAAATTTAGCCTTGCAAAGTTGTGGTTCCAAACACCCTTTTGATCTTGGAAATATATATATATATATATTGTAAGTATAGTCGAAACACAATTTATTTTCTGGGGTGTTATTGTTATGACTTTTGCCTCCAATCTCGAAATTATACATGATCATCCATCCCCTAATATTCATTGTAAGTACCAATGTAATGTGGGATCTTGGTCGTCCAAAAAGATCAAACCACTGTAGGATTCATCGTCGTCCTCACGAATTATTGTATGATCTTGACGATGATCTTGGTGATGGTGATGGTGTTCGTCGTCATTCTTCACAAAGGGCTGCAAATGAACCATCCTCTGGTCATCTCCCACGACATTCCGATAACAGTTTTGGTTGTTTTCGTCGTTGAAGATTGCGCTCGAATCGCTGCTGTCTGATGATCCGTCCTTCATCCTCAGGATCGACTCGCTCAACTTGTCGAAGAGGTCGAATCCATCCATGCCAGCTTCTTCAAGTTCTTCATCCCTAGGTGAAATTTCAACTCTGGTTTTCGCTTGGTTATCATCCATTTTTGTTTCTGATTCTTCAAGCTTGGATGACGACGATGATCTGCTTAGAATCGATGATTTCAACTCTCTTATCTACAAACGAAGAGGCACAATTCACAATTTAGTCGAGAGCAGATTGAATTTGATCCAAAAAAGCATACAACTTAAAATGTTAGCCTATTTTAATCTTAAGAGTAAATTTAAAACTCTAATTTTATCTCTCTCTTCTTTATCTTTTATTCCTAACTATACACTCCATTAAACCTTTCGAAATTCCATGGTTGCCTAAGCCTCTCCCCTTTCATCTCCAGGTCTTTTCCATGCTCTGCTCACCCACTTATCCAAACCAAAACTCACTTCTCCCTCTCTCTCTATATTTTCTCGTTCGATCTTCTTTCAATTTTTTTCACTATTCGAACTTCCAGACGAAGCACCTTCGGTTCAATTTCATCTTTTTCTCCCGAGTCAACGTCGTTGTTAGATTTAAAATACATTTAATTGTATATTTATAAGACCTAAAATCTTTTTTTTTTTTTTTTGTTCATAGCTCAAAAAAAAAGTTCAAGATAGCCTCTCTCTCTCTCTCTCTTATATATATATATATATATAGTGACCTGGAGAAGCAAGGAGTGGTTGTGTTTATGAAGGTTTTGGATGTCAAGTCGAAGAGAGTCGTAATTAGCCTTTAGGCAGAGATAATCCTTCTCCAACTGCTTCGTCTTCCAGCGGGCGCGGCGGTTCTGGAACCACACCGCCACCTGGCGCGGGTGCAGCCCAGCTTCCCGAGCCAACTTCAGTTTCCGATCTGGATCGAGCTTGTTCTCCACCTCGAAGCTCCTCTCCAATGTCCTCACTTGATCCACGCTCAGTCTCCTCTTCGAATTCGCTTTTTCTTCCACACTACAACACCAATACCCTTCCTCATCTTCAATGCCCTCTTCTGCGCACATTGTCCCCAAATCCCTAATTATCGCATCCTTTTCTCCTCCTGCACACCCAAATCATAGAGGTCGTTCCTTACTAAATTTGATTTCGCATATTATACATAGAAAGATCAAATAATCTTGTTTATTAATTACCTGAGGAGCTTGGAGTGATGGAAGTTGCAGAGCTCCCATGCCTCCTCTTCATTGCTTGAATCGAAACTCTGCTTTACAAACACAAATACAACAATGATTCTGCACTGCACTGCTCTATTCTACTCTGAGGATTTTTTTAATTTCCTGTTTCTTGGGAACCCCAACTTGCCTGTTTTTCCCATGGCGATTCCTACCTAAAATCGAAACCAGAAAAAAAGGGGAAGAATGGAGAAAGATTGAAAACAAACTTGAAGTTGAGGATGGCGATGGCGATGGAATTCAATTCCAATTCTCTGTTTCGTTTGTAGTTGGAGAAGAAAGAAGGAACGCAGTGGCGTATATTTGAGGGCTTTCAGAGTTTATTTAAATAAACCAAACTGTGGGGTGGGGTGGGGTGGTTTAGAGTACAGCTATTAATAGAACTTAGTGTGGTTAGGACTTGACCAGGGTTGGGCTGGTTTGGCTTGGCTTGGCCTGGCCTGGCTACTTATTCAAATTCGGTATAATGTTTTGTATTGACTCAGGTATTACTCTATCCGTCTAAATACAATAGTCTTATTTAATATTTTTATTCGTTTTAAAAAAATAATATTATTTTTATAAATAATCATATCACTATAAAATTATTCTTATTTTTTCATTTTTATTATACAATTATTACTATTTTTTACACTAATACATTCACAAGCAAAATAATTTCTATCTATATTTTTTACCCACTACCAATATAATATTAATATTTTTTCAATCTCGTATCCAACTCAATTAAGAATATAATTCTGGGACGGAGATAGTATTATTTTATTGTAATTTAAAATATTGCAATGCAAGACACATGGGATGGAGAGAATGTTTTAATTTGATATTTTATAATAAAATAATAATAATAATTCCAGTTTCATTCAAATCTATGCTAAATTGTTTTGTAATTATAAAATTAAATACAAATAAAGGAATGACCCCTAAATTGAGTGCAAAGCAAATGCAGGAAATTGGCGTTGGTAGGGAGGGTAGGGTTGGGTGTGGCCGGTGTATGAGCCGTAGGGGTGGGGTGGGGTGGGGTGGGGTGGAGATTGAGAGACGTTTCCGTCACAAATTCAAGCTACTACTTTGACGTATTAATCCGTACTTGCGTTCACACTTGCACTGTGTGGGTTCACGTTATTATTATTATTAGTCATTTTGTCTCACTCATATTTTATGTTATTTTTTAGTATTTTTAAGAAGAAGACAGTTACGATGCTGAATTAGAAAAATCGAACACCGATACTTTCATATTATATAAAAACAACACAGAATTTTATTATAGACAACACATGTTGTTTATGATAATAACATGTGATGTTGCTTCATGCTTAGAGCGTGTTGTATAGTAGTAGGTGGTAGGTTGGAATCAATTAATATTTGTGTTGTATAAGACTATAACATGTGTTGTATTTCTGTTATTGGTTCATAATACTAGTGTATTGTATAATAGCATGTGATGTGTTGAAATCAAGTATTGATTGTGTTGTATAAAACTACAACATGTGATGTATTTGTATTATATGAATGCAAACTGTGTGCTGCCGGTATTAACACCGTGTGTTGCGGTGTGTTGTCAGCACAATGCTGAATTTTAAAATTCAACACCGTAGCCGCCGCCTTTTTAAGAATTATATATTTTTATTTATTAAAATTTTAATTAAATTACATCTTTTTATTTATAATTTTTTAAATTTTAATTAAATTAATTAATATCTTAAGTTTACTTTATGATTATTTATATTGTAAATAATTACTTTTTTGTTAATATTATATTTTTAATTATTTATTAATTATAATTATATTTATAATAATTCGGATATAATAGTAGAGATGGAACAAGTATTAAACTTTTGGACTATGTGGATTTGTTCACTTAAGTATTTTCATTTTTTAATTTTTTACTATTTATTAAATTTTTTCAACTTAAAATCAAATAAAATATATTTTATTTTTTAGATCATATTAAAAATTAATTTTATATTTAAAATTTTAAATTCAAAATCAAAACTTTCATATAAACACACTCTTAAGACCATCTTTTTCCCTATTTTTGTAGGGTGTAGAAAAGAAAGAAAAATAATAAAAAAAAGTTTCAATCCATCATGCAAATATATAGATTTTGCCCTCTTATAAAATTATTTCCGACTCATACCTCTATTTTTGCAACATCATCACGAATTTCTTCATTTTATAGAAGTATTGTGGATTTCAATTTTTTTTGCAATTTCACCCTCTTGTAATATTGTGAAAAATATAAAAATATTTTTTTTAATTAAAATAAAAAGTATCATTACTAAAAAAAAAATGAAAATATATATTGATAGTGAACATATTAAAATAAAAAATAAATATATGGGCGAAAAGAATATTACTCACATAATTTTTTATCTCATATGAAAAAAAAAAATAATAACTAAAACAAAAACTAAACATACACACAGAACAATTAAATCGAATGGTTTGGCTTCTATATTCAAATTATAGTGTACTTTGTGTTTTTTTATTTTCGTATTGTTTAATTTTAAATAACTTTTTAATAATCCTTTCGTCTCATATCTATATATCAATTTATTTTTTTACAGAGTTTTAAAAATATTAGTATTATATTGAGATAAAATAGAAATAAAGGTAAAAAAACTAAATTAATCATATTAGTATTGTATGATATAAAGGTAATGACATTTGTGTAATATATTGTAAATTGGAAGAATATTTGTAATTTTAGGTAAACAGTACAATTACTTAAAAAAAAAGAAATTGATACTTTATTATGAGACATACCAAAATAAAAAAATAAATAAATTATTAAGGGAAGATTGGAATTATATATTTATGTTTTATGTTTTTTTTTTTATAATACTATTAACTTTGTGTTCACTTATAAATATTATTAATATATATAATATATATATTTATATGCTCATAAAATATTAATATTTAATATTATATTCGACCGTCTTTAAGATTACATTTACCTATAGCGTCATTATACTAAACATTAAAAATATCCGTATATTTATATAATTTTTTATACAAATGTCATTATATTAGTATTATAAGATACTAATAGAAGTATTTTTTGTCATTTTTTTTTATTTGTACGACGTTTTGATATAATAATTAATATTTAAATATTAACAAACAAAAAATAAATGTGACTCTTAAAGCCAGATATAGATAGTATAAAATATTATTTTTTATAGCATCAATATAATCTTTTATACTTAATATAAAGAAACACACAGTGAAAAAATAATAATAATAAAAAATATAAAATATTTTATTAAAAAATAGAAAAAAATCAATAAAAAAAATTAAATATTCACTATAAAAAGTCAAAAAATCAATTGCAAAAAGTTAAATATTTTATATTTTTGACACAATTTTTCACACAAATTCTTTATCTAAAACGTTGGTGAATAGAGTTAATAAATACAAAAGTGTATTTGATTGTAGTTTGAAATTGATTTGAAACAAAATATTAATTTAAATTTTTGTTAAAATAATATTTAGATACGATATTTTTTTTTAAAAAAATAAAATTATATTTTTATTAAAAATTGTGCTAAATAAATAATGTTAATTTTAATTTGAAATCACAAAACAGCAAACTATAAGTAAACATACCCATAAATAACACTTTCATTTCGTATTGCTTTGATGATTTTTTTTTTTTTAAAAAAAATCTTAAAATTCATAGTAATATATATTAAAAAAAATTGCTGTCTTTACAATAATTTTAATAGTATAATACTAACAATATATATAATATATATCAGTCATATGAGATATAAATCTATTTCTTATTGAAGAAATTACATTCAATATATATATATATATATCTATATTTTCAAACAATTATGACTTATTCATTGTCTTTCTTTGTTTGTATTTGCATTTTAACTTTTCACAAATATACTTGCATATTTGTATAAGATATTGTAAAATTTTATAACAATTCATTTGGAAAAATAAATCATAAAAAATTTAGGGCGTGTTTCTTCTGACCCGGTTTGGGGATATTTATGGTACAAACACTAGTTTGGGGTGTTTGCACAGTAAATATCCCCAGATCGGGGCTGCCGCTAAATAGGACAACACATTGTAGGCTGCAGTAGCTTTATGTCTGTTTTTTCATATTTTTTTTTTAGAAAAATTAAAATATATAAATAATAATTTATTTAATATTTATAATAATTATATGTTAAAAAAATATATACAATATACTCCCTCCGTCCACTTACAATGCTTACATATTTCTATTTTGGGACGTTCAATTACAAAGTTAACATTTCATTAGATACCCTACTTTTTTTCCACAAATGCCTTTACTTTACATCACATCATTACTTTTACACAAAAAAATAAGGGCAAAAATGTCATTACACTACTTTTAACTACTCACTGTAATTAAAATACTATTATTTCTTAAATACCGAGCCAAATGTAAATGTCAACCTTCTAAGTGGAGGGATGGAGTATATCATTTTGTAGAGAATAAATTTTTTTATAATACAAATAAATAAAAATTCAAAAGTATATATTGTATATAATATAAATTCATAATCAAATACTACTGTTAATTTTATCAATTAAATTTAATACATGTTTACATTATTATATTATTATCTATCAAATCAATATATCAAAACTCGCAAAACTCAGACACAAAAGAAACAAATAAAGTCAAATCTATCCTAAAATTCAAATAAAAACCAAATTCAAACCCAAATTTCTCCAAACTGGCCTAAAGAAACACACTTTATATCACTCTTATTAAAAACATTTTGAATGAAAACTACAAAACAAACACAGCACAAATAAACGCACGCCGTATAAACGTTAAAAAGGTGAACTTAATTCGACATGTTTGTAATTTTATTTTATTTTAATATTTTACGAAATTATTTTTTCTTATATAATATAATATAAAAAAAAAAGATATTTATATTATGAATATTATAAAGTGGGGTTTAGCTGTAGAACGTTGGAGACCATAAAATAAAAAGATTCCCCTTTCAATATTTGTTGATTTATACAAAAGGGACCTACCCATAATTTATATGTATATATATATATATATAATAAATTATTATTTATTAAAATAGGTTAATTAACTTAATTATACCTAATTGCACGTAGTAATTAGACACGTATGGAGCATCCAATTTATTTTATTGAATAATTAAACAGCAACTTTTGTTTAATCATTACTTAGTGGCAAGATTAAAATGAAAAGCTGCAGCATACAATATTGTATATTATTATATCCATAGGTTGACAAAATAACAAAGTTAAAAAAAAAAAAAGAAAAAAAAAAGAAAAAAAAGTAGTTCACCTAATCTTTTTTATTGAATCTT